TCATGAATTTTCACTATATAATCTATAGAGCCCCGCCCTAACACCAGAACCCCTGACCCTGGTGCCATAAAATTCACAAATTTGGTAGAGGCACTCTTGCACATCATAACTATGCACTTAGTTAGTTTATTTAATACCCAGGAGCAGAGAAGAAGATTTTCAAAGAAATAATGCATTTTCACTATGTACTTATTTAGCCCCGCCCTAGCAATAGAACCCCTGACCCCAGGGCCATGAATTTCACAATTTTGGTAGAGGACTCAATGCTGATTACAATCATGCAAAAGTTTGACTGCTTGATGTCCAGGAGTAAAGAAGAAGATTTTTAAAGATTGCATTAATTTTTAGTGGTTTTTGCCCCACCCCCAGGCCCCAGGAGGGCAGGGATTATGAAATTCACAATTTTTGTTCCCCTTCACCCATAGATGTTTTGTGCCAAATTTGGTTGAAATTAGTTTAGTGGTTGCAGAGAAGAAGCTGAAAATGTTCAAATGTTAATGGACGACGCACGACGATGGACGAAAACAGATAGCAATAGGTCACCTGAGTTTTCTCAGGTGACCTAAAAAGTAAACAAAAAAATAAATGAATCACTTCAATAAAATAAAAGTATTTTGATCATTGCGTGCCATAATTCGATTTGTACATGCAATGTAAAAGATTTAAAATTGTACTTCTGGGAAATTATCAAATTTGTTCAAACTGATTCATTTAACATAATATTTTCTATACATATTTACCAAAGAAGGCCCTCATATTTTCTTCCATTTCTTGTAGCTGTTTTTGGTAGCGAGTCTCGGCCTGTTGAATGGACAGGGGTGTCTCCTGAATCTGCTTTGACAAGGCCATGATCTTATCTGTGCAGGGTAAAATTGACAGTGAATATGGATGACATTTTAAATAACATCTGAAGCGTGTTTTTGTTATGTATGTTTCTTCAACATTCTGGTTTTGTTAACAATCTGTTAAAACCTTTGTACAATTTATAACATTAAGAGAGAGAGAGAGAGAGAGAGAGCTTGCCATTCATGCTGCTGATCTGGTCTTGCTGGTCTAGGATAGTAGTGTCTTTCCTGTTGACATCTTGTTCTAGATTACGGGCCTCCTGATTTCTCTGGTCATAAAGATCCTTAAACATTACAAACTGTTGAAGATATGTAACCTCATCTGTAAAACAATAACATTATCATAGAATATATATATCCAGATGGAATCTCACTGTTCCTTTTATATTAATATTTAAATTGCATTTTGCTAGGAAAAAGCCATTTTGATGCATTCATGCACAGGACTCATATATGTACATATATAATTAATTTAGCTTTAAAATGGTGTAAGTGTGCTGATACTAAGTAGTAAAAACACCCTTAATTGTCATTATATGAAACTGTAAAAACTCACTAATTCTTTGTTGTAAATCTTTCTCCAATTGATTCACAGTTGTCTGCAGACTGTCTGCTTTCTCTGCCACTTTTGTTTTTTCATCTGCAACAAAAATTGTGCATATTTACAAATTGATGTATATTTACATACAGGTAATTATTTGTATGTAGTGTTATATGAATCATTAATTTTCGTAAACTGTGCTTTCATTATCGGAGAGGTCAATTTTATGTTATATACTGAAATACAAGGATTGAAAGTCATGCACAAAAATACCAAATATCTCTGTTGAACGTACCGAGATACATGTTCAGAGCCTGTATTTCAGCCACCTGCTTTTGCATTTGTCCGTACAGCTCCTTTACTTGTTGTTGTCGAGTTACATCTACTGTCTTTAAAGTAGTTAATTCTCCATTTACTCTCTGTAATTCTCCTGTTATCAAAAAATGTGTATGTTACTTTAATATCAGAATTTCAAACTGATTTTTAACCACTTCTGTGTATCTGTAGACAGAAATATTTTGGAGCATGAAATTTATCATTGATCTGTAAGTAAGGCCAGCATTTTTTTATTTTTAGGTTTACAAACCCGCCGCTCAAGTTTTTGAATTTTCAGAAAAAAAATAAAATTGAGAAAAACAGAATTTTTTCTTTCCGATGTCAAATTTGAGTCGGGATCGAGATTTCAAATTTACGAACTCGTACTTCCGGTTTTAAATGAACATGGCGGGTAACGAGGGGAGATTTGTGTCAAGTCCATAGCAGCACTAAAGCTTGGTTTACTGTAAATATTTATCGATAGGAGTGCCATTCAAAACATTTCATCCGTTCAGAGCACAATAAAATGCTGACGACTTTGTTTCAAAGTGACATGTTGGTGAGATAATTATATATCCGTATTCACAAGTAACTGTCTGTAATTGTAACTTATTTTCCGCCCACAGGTTTAAAACTGCCCATGGTAGCTATTGTCAGAGACATTGTTTAGGTTTCTGTCATAGCTTACATTCTTAGCATCATTCTTCAGAAAAGGGTCGCTTATGCATCAGATGTAATGAATAAAACTATGGGAGAAGTTAAGTCCATCTGAGGAAGAAATGAACAATAGCCTAAAGAAATAAAATATTTCAACTATTTAAAAACAAGAATATACTAATATATACAGGCATGTAGTATCATTTATTGCAGCCAGAAAAAATATTTTACACTTAATTGAAAAAAATTCCACCCTACTCCTCAATACTCCTTGGGAATACTCCCTGTCTGTTTTCTGAAAGGAATTATTACTTTTATAGGTCTCGAGTATATTAATATTTTAGAATAATTTCTACCTAACACACATTAAAAACAAAAATGAAGATACATTAAAAGAGATTTAAAAAATTGATTTTTTTTTTTTAAATCTGTATTTTGTCCAACATCAAAAGATTTATATCACTGCCCCCAACTGGTAGATGATGAAATAAACAATTAAAGGTTGTATTTTCCCCTTTGTAACCCTTATGTGTCCAGTGGCAAGAAGCCTGTTAGGAGAGCATAAAAAAAGATGCAAAAATTAATGTAGAAAAGTCGATAATGTATCCAAAATATGATTTTTTTTTATTTCCTCCTCCTACGAGACTTTTTCATTCTGATGTTCGTAAACCTAAAAATAAAAAAATGCTGGCCTAAGACATAAAGTTTTTTTTTTTCATTTAAAACAAGTTCAGTTCCTTTTTTTGGTAGAGTGCAGCACCAAAAAGAGTTACCAGGTAGTTCCCTTACCTTTCAGCAGATGTTTTTAATAGATACATTTCGCCACACTCTGTTGCAATTTCTCCCTTGCCTTTTAACTGATATTTTTACTTGTTACATTTTGCCACACTCTATATCTCAATTTTCCCTTACCTTTTAATAATACCTTTGATGTTTTTCCACGTAACATTTCCCCTCACTCTGTCGCCATTTCTCCCTTACCTTTTAACTGATGTTTTTCCTCGTAACATTTCTCCTCACTCTGTCGCCATTTCTCCCTTACCTTTTAACTGATGTTTTTCCTCGTTACATTTCTCCTCACTCTGTCGCCATTTCTCCCTTACCTTTTAACTGATGTTTTTCCTCGTTACATTTCACTTCACTCTCGCCATTTCTCCCTTACCTTTTAACTGATGTTTTTCCTCGTTACATTTCACCTCACTCTCGCCATTTCTCCCTTACCTTTTAACTGATGTTTTTCCTCCTTACATTTCACCTCACTCTCGCCATTTCTCCCTTACCTTTTAACTGATGTTTTTCCTCCTTACATTTCTCCTCACTCTGTTGCCATTTCTCCCTTACCTTTTACCTGATGTTTTTCCTCATTGCATTTCCCCTCACTCTGTCGTCATTTCTCCCTTACCTTTTAATTGGTGTTTTTCCTCGTTACATTTCGCCTCACTCTGTCGCAATTTCTCTAGCTTCTCCTGTAATGTCTTAACTTGCTTGACCTCTTCTTCAAGTTTCTTGGCATGGGCTAAACAAATTCAGAAAAAACCAGTACTTTCTTTCTTTCTTTTTTTTTTATATCAATGGAATATGTTGGTATTCCGTAGATCACAAAATTTTCGCAACTCCTTATTTTCTTGAGATAATAAACAAGACAAAATTTTCTCAAATTTTTGTTACTTTATATAATTTTTAGAAATAATGAACACAAGAATGATATTTTTGTGAGCTAATTGTCTCGCACAATAACACGAGAATATACAAGACATACATTTTTAGTGGAATAAGTAAGCAAACAGTGACCTATCAGCAGTGATCAATAATCCTCGTGTTTATAGCCATAATTTGTCAAAAGGAAAAAGATTTGGAGGAGAGTAATGAATCTAAATATTGTACATGTTTGCTTTACGGTAACATTCTAATTACACATCAAAGTTAAAATCTCTATAACTTATTCTTTTGTACTTGTATTTTAATGTATCAAGTCAAATCTATCTATTAAATCTTACCTTGAAGAAGTTGTATTGTCCTGTCTCTCTCTGGCAATTCTTTTTCCTTTAGTGTTTGCAGGGTTTTATCCTTTTCTGCTATCAATTTATCCACCATTTCTTTCAGATCTCTGTCCTTACGAGGCAACAAAGTACACAATGCATCAGCTAATTTGTGGTCCACATGAAGGCTAGGTCCATTATCATTGTTAGTACCATTTCCATCTTTCAAAATAAAAAAAAAGATAAATTGGCATATGAGGGGTCTTTAAAAAGGATTGAAATTTTAAAATAGAACTTGCACAAGATCGAGGTATTCAATTTCTAGGATTCTCATATGTGGAGTGAAAATATTTAAGATTTTTAGTCTTCTTCCATTTTTTTTACTTTTGCCAGCACTCTCTTGATTATATGGTTGTCTATTAGGGAACTTGTAAATACAGTTCCATACAAATGATACAATATGCTCTCCCATTCTTTTACTTTATTATCAAGGAATTTTCTTATGACTATTAAAACAAAACAGTTTTCAATAAGGAATCTCATGCAGTGATGCAGGCATCCCCAGGAATATTCTTTATATAAAGCAAGTTTTACTGCATCAAAAAAGCTTTTAAGAGACCCTGACTCACCTGACTCCAGGAGTTGTCTAGCCGTAACATCAGCCTCACTAACCGCTTTCTCTTTGATTGTTCCTGTCGATGAATAGATAACCAACTTACAGTTCATACCAATCTTCTTGGGATTTTTTTTTTTAAACAAACCATTTGTTGTATTATTTGCTTTAAAAAATAATTGATATCAACTTTTGTGCCTTTACCCAGAAAACTCCTCACAACATCAAGGGGGTCCTCAGACCTGATTCAACACATGGCTGTGGTACCCTTGACAAACTTACATTCGGTTTTGTTGGGCCTGTTCCTCTCATTAAGAAGCACTCATAAAATGGGTCTTTCAAACATTGATATGTACCAGTATTTAATGTAAATAGAAAGTATAATGCATAGGCTGATACTTAAGTGTACTGCTTATTTGATGGTCACTGAAAGGCATCATATGACAATTCGATATAAGAAAAACAATAAAGACGTGTAATAATCCCTGAAAGACAAAGCTGAATTTAAGTCAACCTCTAAAAAATTGATAAATTGTTTGCTGTTAGGGGTCTTACAATAAGAGTGGACTCAGGACCATTGACTTTAATTGTTAGTTCCTCCTAATTTCAACTAAGAACATTCATTTAAAATAAAAGAACTTTAAAATACTGTAAAAGTGTAAATTTTAGCGAGATGCAAATTTAGCTATTTGTCCTTCAAAATTGGTATTTATTTTATTTATAGCGATCGAGATGTAATTTTAGCAATTTTAAAAAGCTCACTTAAAGAAACCATTACAAATATTAATTAAAGCACAATAAATTTTTAATGATATTCAATTTTACAAATCTTGGCACCCTTGCTAATAATGCCAAAATCAAATCCTCACTGAAATTTCTGCTTATACAGTATACTATAATTACGACTTATTAACTTAAATGATAAAAAATAAATATTAGATGCTTACTCAACAACTCATCAAACTGGTGATCTCTTGTTTCTTGACCTACTCGAACTTGTTGGTTGCAAACAGGACATTTCTGTTGTCTCTGGAACCAATTCTGAATACAGTGTGCACAGCAGCGATGCCCACATCTTGTTGTTAAAGTTCCACTGAACAAATTGGTACATATTGTGCAGGTAAAATAAGACTTGATATCTGAAAGCTAGAAAAAAATCAAAATGTTGAAAATACATGTTCTTGATAGCATCAATTACCCTTTTATTACATACATGTACCATATATCTGTGCCTCAAAAAGATTTTGTGTTTATTATTTTCATTTTTCCTCATTATAAACTGTAACATGAAGTGGTCAGTGGCCGCTAAAATTTCTTCTCTCACTAAAATGTTAACATTTTATATGGCAGATCAAGGAAAAAAATGCGAACGATCCCACAGTATTGTTCTCCAGCTTACCTCCAAGTCAATTTTCAAAAATTAAGGAGACTGAAGATATTCAGATGATTTTTTATATTAATTCTGATTTGTAAATGGACTTTCATAAAACATTACTTATTGGGAGAACAATGAAAGATAGGCCTAAAATTGTGTAAACTCATGTTTATCACTAAAGAAATCAATGGAAAATGCAATATATTTGGAAACACATCTTCCAGTTCCACCCCTTAATCCCCCCTCCCAAATTAAAAATTCCCCCAAAAACCCTTTTTACAGGTAATATTGACTGTCATTTCACAAATACTGTTTGTGTTGGGGGGATAGGTAGACAATATTTTTGTCTTTTTTTCCATAAATACCTATTTTTTTCAGCAATTTCCGATTTACAACTGAAACATTGTTTTTTACTAGGCATATATAATGTCTAATTTTATAGGCATATAAACCATAAGAAAAGATTTTTAAAAAAATTTATTCATATATAAGATTATTTCAGAAAATGGTGATGCTTTAATTTATAGCCTGATTTCAGTGGAAAATATTGTCTATTCCCCTTTATTTCATTAGACAAGAGCTGGAACTACAGGGATACTATGTAGTATTAAAATAATTAATCAATCATCATTAAACTGTTCTTCGTACTAGATGTAATAGATGTAATTCTAACAACATAGATGATGAAACTCATTTTTTAATAACATGTAAAAAATTTGATCATCAAAGAAAAGAAATGTTTCAGTTAATTAATCATAAATTTCCACTATTTTCAGCTTTAGATGATGAACAAAAACTTTATTGGTTACTCAATACAGAAGATAAGGAAACTCTTAATTTTGTGGGCAAAGAACTATATAGGGTTTCTATTATAGTTTGGCCCCCGTTTTTGTTACAATTTAAACGCCAATAAACCTCAATGAAATTGATATTTTTTGAAAGATTAGAATTTATACTTTTCTTGTATGGTTAAATTGATATTTTGATTTAAGTAATATACAGAGAATTGAAGGTTTAAAGTGACTAAGTTTACAAGAAAACGCCTAAGAGTGGCATTTTTAGCATCGTTATCGGCGATTTTATGTATGTTCAACGCCTTGAACAAGAAAGATATTTACACACGTAAAAGATATTGTCAAAAAACGTCTTCATTCAAAAAAATAATCTTGTTCATAAAGTGCACACACTTAAAAAATTAAAAAACCTTGAGAAAAATAGCACTTTCTGACTCGCGTGACGTCACAAGCATGTACGGAGAATGACGACGACGTTGTTGACATGTGTTGAATTTTTTTATTTCGAAGGTAGAATCATCTATCGATTGCTTCATGTATATTTTCCAACATAAAGTTCTAGACATATCTTTTTTTAAAACATATTTGTGATTAAAGAATATATTTTATTGGTATCGACATTGATCTGTTGATCTGTGAATGTACGGGTGTGGATCACAAGGAACACGATGATCGAGTTTGACCTTCGAATTGCTCAAACTTCGTCTACTGTACATTAAATCAGTTCATAAAAGAAATATTTACACAGTATACATTTTATAAAATTATTTGATCATGTTTAAATACGTTCATTGCGTGTGCATATTTCCATATCTACTTTGTACGTTGTCATTTCTTCCCGTATCGTTCATTGTTTACCTGTTTACAAGGCAACAAATGTACGGCCAACCACACGTGTAAAAAATTCAACGTTATTCTAAGAAGTCCGGGGCATTAGTAATTTCAATAAAACCAACTAAAATAATTTTTTTCTATAAATGTTGAGTACAAATAGACAACAAAAATAATATTAATATTTCTATGATTTAGTTTTATTGCATAATCTATATGTACAAAATAAAAATAATAAATAGATCTAAATGAAAATAAATAAAAAAAATAGTAGGAAAGTTTTGAATCAACATTTTACATAGGCGGATCCAGGAATTTGTAAAAGGGGGGTCCAACATTTTGACCTATTAGGTATACTGTTTGCAACATCTACCGCTCCCAATTTTCACCCCACTTTGTTTGTGTACATGTAAATGATCTAAAGAAAATGTCTACTTCATGGCTTGAGAATTAAAAAGAAAAGCCCCCCCCCCCGTTTTGTGTTTGAACGCAGAGAATAAAGTTTGTACTATATAGCTGCGCTCGCTACAACGGTCACACCGTCAATATATTACTGTACATGTGTATATGTTAGCCAATGTTCATGATACATTGTGTAATGGTTTTGGCCGTGGATATCGGCCTGGATAGCTCAATTGGTAGAGCACCTGACTGGTGATGCAGGGGTTCGATTCCCGGTCCAGCCGTGCATTTTCTCCTTTCCTGTTACAGATTTGGTGCCGTTGACCACCCCTGGAATTGCAGGTGAAAGTCCTGCCAGGGGCAATAAGAACTTGGGTTGTGTCGAGGGCGAAGACCATTTAGGAGGGAGGAATGTATAATGGTTTTGGCCGTGGATATCGGCCTGGATAGCTCAATTGGTAGAGCACCTGACTAGAGATACAAGGGTCCCGGGTTCGATTCCCGGTCCAGCCATACATTTTCTCCTTTCCTGTTACAATTGTAACAACCAGCCTTCTACATGTATTTGTGTTACATAGCTGACTCTCTATGAAGATAAAACTCAATGGTAGACCCCTCCCCTACACCGTGCCGTTCACAAACTTGAGAGTTTATGCATAGTTTGGGGTATTTGTTACAAAATTAATGAAATTGATAATCACGTACATAACCACCCCCACGTGTAGTTTTGAATCGTGACGTTTATGTGATAAATATAGTATAATAGGCCCCTATGTGTTTTATAAAAAATATGCAAAAAACTGAAGTAGCTGCACTGCTTGTTCTACTGCCTAACCCTTTCATGAACTGAATATATTTGATAAACAAAGTTTGTTCAGATCACAGGGCTTCTTATAAATTTTGTACTCAATCTGTATGTTATATATCCATCCATGGCTTGAGAATTAAAAAGAAAAGCCCCTCTCAGAGCATAAAGTTTGTACTATATAGCTGCGCTCGCTACAACGGTCACACCGTCAATATATTATACATTTATTGCATGATAGTGAGGGAAGTATGGAGATTTATTCAGCCAAGAAAAATCATATTCCCCCGAGGGAATATGATATTTCTTGGCTGAATAAGTCTTCATGTTTCCCGAACATTCATGCAATGAATTGTTTATTATACCAAAACAAGCAAATCCTTTGAAATAAACATAAACTTTCAAATTCGGCACTGCTCTCAAATTCACTTTCATTGATAACGTAAAGTTTTGTGACGTAAACCAGGCTATTGTGACGTCTACTACTCTCGGGAGTTTTCGTTCAACGAACGAGAACTATATTGCGGGAAAATTCACTAGGTGTTCCGAAGAGGTGGAATATGATGAAAAGCGTGCCGACGACGGGAAATATGAAGTTTTACGGCCCGATCAAGTGATAACCTAGAACCAATCAGATAACGCGTTGTGTAGAATATTTATAATGAGGTATAATAATACTGTATATTTAGCCAATGTTCATGATACATTGTAACAACCAGCCTTCCACATGTATTTGTGTTACACGTGAAACGACCTTTTTCAAAATCGTCGTGTATGACTCAGCCTAAGAATCAAACATTTGGCTAGTAGCGTAGTTCAATATAAACAACTCTTAATAAAAAAAAAAGTAATGGCTTACCATAATATTTATGAATTATGGGCAGTTTAATCTTCATGCCTTACTAGAAGCAGCTTCAGAGTTATTCTAAACAAGAGGCCCATGGGCCACATCGCTCACCTGAGAAGCTTTGACCATTCTGTTCTTTACCAGATTTCCCCCTCGTTATACATAATGCATCCCCACCCTACCCCACTGATCATAATTTAGACATTTTGAAATCTACACTACCCCATGATCCTTCCATGGGCACATATGTTTCAGCTTTTTTGGCCCAGTGGTTCCCGAGAAGAAGATTTTCAAAGATTTTTCCTATATATTTCTATGTAAAACTTTGATTCCCTATAATGGCCCCGCCCTTCCCCCGGGGGTCATGATTCCTACAATTTAGAATCTACACTACCCCAGAATGCTTCCACATAAGTTTCAGCTTTTCTGGCCCAGTGGTTCTTGAGAAGAAGATTTTCAAAGAATTTTCCTATATATTTCTATGTAAAACTTTGATACCCCATTGTGGCCCGTCCTTCCCCCGGGGGTCATGATTTAAACAATTTAGAATCTACACTACACCAGGATGCTTCCACATAAGTTTCAGCTTTTCTAGCCCAGTGGTTCTTGAGAAGAAGATTTTCAAAGAATTTTCCTATATATTTCTATGTAAAACTTTGATTCCCCATTGTGGCCCCGCCCTTCTCCCGGGGGTCATTATTTGAACAATTTAGAATCTACATTATACCAGGATGCTTCCACATAAGTTTCAGCTTTTTTGGCCCAGTGGTTCCCGAGAAGAAGATTTTCAAAGAATTTTCCTATATATTTCTATGTAAAACTTTGATTCCCTATAATGGCCCCGCCCTTCCCCCGGGGGTCATGATTCCTACAATTTAGAATCTACACTACCCCAGAATGCTTCCACATAAGTTTCACTTTTTCTGGCCCAGTGGTTCTTGAGAAGAAGATTTTCAAAGAATTTTCCTATATATTTCTATGTAAAACGTTGATACCCCATTGTGGCCCGTCCTTCCCCCGGGGGTCATGATTTAAACAATTTAGAATCTACACTACACCAGGATGCTTCCACATAAGTTTCAGCTTTTCTAG